TGTGTGTGTGTGTGTGTGTGTGTTCGGGGGATGTTTTTACAAGGACTTACCACACCACATCTCTGAAGATTTGAAAAATGGACGTTTGGAATAAACAAGACTGGCTCGGTTTCTAAATCCGTCTCCGGCCTGAGGAATGTGATTTCGTTCCCTCGAAAGCCAGACAGCAAACAGCCTTTCAAACCTACGAGAACAACAAGAAATCTCATTTCAGAAAACCTTTGCCGGTCTGCAGCTTCATCACATCAGTGGGATCTGTCACATTGTGACAGAGATTTATGCGCCTGCCCTGAGAACAAACAACCCAAAGCTTAGTTACTCACGTGTTATACAGAGTGCATGAAACACAAGATATTTCTTAATGAGCAGCGAATAAAGCCCTAACTCTCGTCTGTAGATGGACAGGGTCACTCTGTGCAAATTTAGGACAGTTCATGGCCTTTACCCTTAATGGTTTCCAAGGGAGGTTTTATTTTATTTGTCCTTATTGGAAGAGTCATTCATGCTGGTGAAAGATAGCCGACCTGACGAGGAGGAGCGGTGGGTGGAGCCCACCAGATCAAAAGGCCCCGCTGGCACAGACAAGGGAGGGACCACAGAACCCAGACATCAAATGAGCATAGGCAACAAAAAATAAAACAGGAATTGGGGTGCAGGTCACAAGGTCATAATGAGCGAACTGGAAGGAGACACTGAGCAGAGAACCCAGACAGCACCCAAGACCAAGTCCAAAGAGTCAGTGGATGCTGCCCAGAGCAACTGTGCTTGGATGCGTGCATGGACATAGGACCAGAAAAAAGTCCCACAGAGGCAGAGAACCCTCCTGCGCACCCAGCTCCCTCCTCCTGGGCTGAGAGACGGCCAGGGTTGGTCCCTGCCGGGAGGAGGTTAACAGCCCTGGAGACAAGCCCCATTTAACCCCAGAATGGGTATCGCAGTGCGAGCTTCCCCACTGCGCTCACACGCCTCACTCATGACTTGAAGGAACCACCTCTAGGTGTCCATTCAACAGGCCCAAGACCATCTCATTGCCCATGGACCCCCAGCCTCTACTGACCTTGGAACCAACACCTGGGGTGTGGGAGGGGACAAGTGGTGTGGCGTGCAGAGCCTGAGACCCCAGCCTTCCCGGAACCTCCTCATTAGAAGCTTCTCTTGCATGAAGGAACCATCTGCCTTTTGTTATCCCCCACTGTGTGTTGGCTCTAATAGGTGCCCCACCCCTACCCCACTGGAATAGACTTGCACAAGCAACAAAGGACAAGCAGCAATTGTAGAATATTGCATTAGAAAGGACAGGGCGGTGGTAATTAACGTCACAAATCTCTGTTTCACACTCTCTTCACCCGGATTAGATTATTTCACATTCCAATGGGAGTGACGGCTTAGCCCAGTTCTCAGCTCTCAGACAGTGCGCAACATTTTCAAAGCATTCCCAGCCAGGACTCATACAGCCTCCCAACACCTCGCTCGGGCAGCGTCACTGGAGACACAGAGAGAGGTTCGGTCTATCTGTCCATCTAGGCACTTAATCACTGTCCTTCTCTGCAGGATCGGAGCAAATTGCTCCAGGCTACACAGTGAATCCGCGGCAGAGAGCCCAGGCGCTCCTGTCTCCCTGTCCTGGGCACACACTGCTTTCTGGCTCTGATACTAGTTTGGGTAGATCTCATCCTAGTACACTGTTTAGCGACTCGCTCTGGGCCTGATCCAGAGCTCACTGGAGTCAGTGGAAAGACTCCTATTGACTTCAGTGGGCTTTGGATCAGGCCCCTTGTTCCCTCCCGGTGACTAGTCCTTGTACTAACCGTTGTTATTGGAGTCCAGGCATTTCCCTTTCCTTCTGAACTGCTTGCGCTCATCGTCCCGCATTTTCCTCTCTGCTCCCTGTGGGGAAGGTTAGGCAAAAATTAGCTCCAGCTATAGTGTTAACAGTACTCCGCTTTACAGCAAACATCCCTGGGAAACTGAGGCCCGGGGGGCTAAGTGACTTACCCAAGGCCAAAGGATGAGACTGTGTCAGAGCTGGGATCAGCATGAGGTGTTTGAACTCTCAGATCTGGGCTCAGATCACGTCTTACCTTTACCTTTTAATATGCTAAGAAGATTGGGGTAAATTCCCTGTTGGTGCAACTCCATTGACTTCAGCGGAAATTGCATCTCAGCAGAGAATCTGGCCCATTGTTGTTGTTTTTATTGGACATTTGCTTCTTAAATGGGGAACAACAAAAGGCCGCTAACCCTGTCAGTCTCCATAACAGCAGCACTTGCACAGATACAACGTTCTGTTTGTGAGGGCACAGCAAGATTTGAAAAGGTCCAGTCAGTGAGCCTTTTATGAACATAAGAACAGCCATATTGGGTCAGACCAAAGGTCCATCTAGCCCAGTATCCTGTCTTCCGACAGTGGCCAATGCCAGGTGCCCCAGAGGGAATGAACAGAACAGGTAATCACCAAATGATCCATCCGGTCACCCATTCCCAGCTTCTGGCAAACAGAGGCTAGGGAACACCATCCCTGTCCATCTTGGCTAATAGCCATTGATGGACCTATCCTCCATGAATTTATCTAGTTCTTTTTTGAACCCTGTTATAGTCTTGGTCTTCACAACATCCTCTGGCAAAGAGTTCCACAGGTTGACTGTGTGTTGTGAAGAAGTACTTCATTTTGTTTGTTTGAAACCTGTTGCCTATTCATTTCATTTGGTAACCCCTAGTTCTTGTGTTATAAGAAGGAGTAAATAACACTTCCTTATTTACTTTCTCCACACCAGTCATGATTTTATAGACCTCCATCATATCCCCCCTTAGTCGTATCTTTTTCAACCTGAAAAGTCCCAATCTTATTAATCTCTCCTCATATGGAAGCTGTTCCATACCCCTAATCATTTTTGTTGCCCTTTTCTTTTAATAATACCACTTTGTTCTTACATTGCACTTTTCATCAGTAGATCTCAAAGCAGTTTACAAAGGGAGAGAAGTATCATTTTACAGATGGGGAAACTGAGGCACAGACAGGGGACGTGACTTGCCCAACATCACCCAGTAGGCCAGTAGCAGAGCAGGAAATTAGAACCCAGGTCTCCTGAGTCCCAGTCCTATATGTGCTTCATCCACTAGGCCACAATGCCCCCTGTTGAGTTAAATATGACACACTATCTACCCATCACCATGGTATCTGAGCACCTGACTTTGCACTTGCCCCACCTGGGATTTGAAGACTCTGTGGTGACTGGAAAACTAGTGGAATTTTAAGAGCGTAAAATTTGATCAATTGAAAGGAGAGGGAATTATTAGTCAAATTACTTAGATTTTTTTTAATTAATACATTGTTAACTTCATTGACTAATTAACACGTAGGATAATGGAAGCCCTTGTTAAAAAGATTCCACATCCCAAGGGACTCACAGTAAATAGCCTGAACACCTCCCAGAGGTCTTTCAGGAAAATAAGACCAGGCCTTCCTGATATTTCTAAAGTTAAGAAAAAACAACCCCTCTTTAAAATGGAAAATATAGGCTAAACATCAGGCAAAACCTTCAAACCCTGAGAGCTACAAGACTGCAAATCAGCCTCCAAAGGGAGTGGGGAAAGTCTCAGATCTTGAGTCTTAACATTTGATTGGACTAGAGAATAAGTTACAGGGCAGAATCCTACTTAGGCCAGGGATGGATAAGATCCTCCAACAGCTCTGTCCATCTCTAACTTCTGTGAGCTGAGTGATCCAGACACACTAGCTAAATCAATCTCCTCACCCCGAGATGGCTGAACCTGTCTATTCAGTCATGCCCTCTGGGTTGCTCTGGGTTCTCATCCCCTCCAACTCAGTTAGTGGCTCCAGGTCTTTTGTGCTAGTTTGGGGTGAGTATAAAATTCCCTGGAAGCAGTTCTCCGAAGGGAGGGAGAGGCTCTACCTTATCGCAGAAGATCTTGATCTGGCAGACAGCTCGGTGCACCAGCCGGCTTGTCCCAGGGCCGCAGTCGTAGGTGTCAATCTGGAGGTTTAAAGGGACGCCCTTCACTCCTTTCTGGGAGGAGAAGTCTGTACTCAGGCAATTCACCCCAATAAAAATCTGCAGATAAGAAGGGAGAATGTCACAGCTTGAATGCTAACCTGCAATCCCTGGATTTTAAATGACAGAGGGAAGGATGTCATCAGAGGGCAATCGACTCTTCAGTGCTTCTGAGATTCATCCGTCCAGCCTTCCCAACTTTCATCCAGCACGTACCTAACCACTCCTCACCAGCTTAGATCTAGCAGATTCTCTGCTGCCCTGCACTGCCTGCACACAGTCACTTACACCAGCCAGGAGTGAGTGTAACGCTCCCATTCCTTGCATCTTCCCATCTGCTCTTCACAGCCTACGTCCCGTAGATGGCACAGTCCATCCAGAGGGACACTTTGGTTTGGACAATCTTGATGTTCTAATGATGTTGCAACCTGTTCCTCACAGCCCTGCCAAAGGCCTCCCTGAGGGCTATTAAGGCGACAGAAACGCTACCGTCACCTTCAGTGGGCCTTGGGTCACTGCCTGAATAGAGCTACCTCCGGTCGGAAATAGGAAGAGAACGTTGGGCACTCACAAAGCCTTAGTTCTGCTTCCAAACTACAAACTCATCTGTGCAACCTGGATATTTTCCCTGGAGTTTCTGGAGACAAATACTAGGACTAGTTCCTCAGCCGGCATGAATCAGCACAACTTAATGGGGCCTGTGCGGAGGGTCTGATCCTGAAGTCAGGTCTAGCCAATACTTCTAGACCGAAAAGAAGACACTTATCTGTTGCATTAAGCTTAGCGGCAAGAAGAAGAATTATGAATGAGAATTCATGTAAGACGTACTACAGACAGCCCTCTATAGCTGGCCTCTCTTGGCAGCTCCCAGACTTTTCAGCTCTCTGAAGTCTCACCCTGAAGTAGCCCCAGGCCAGTGTGAGGACAAAGTTTCTGGTAACAGCTAAATTGTGTTTGGCTGAGATGCCCCCAAGGGCTTGCTGCATATCTGGCATATTTCCATTTTTGACAACTGTGCCTTGAAGACATTTGTTAACCTCTTGGGGTTGTAAAAGACGAAGGTCGCCTTTGGGCTGACAGCGGGGGTCTATGGAGATCCCAGCACAAACCAGAGTTTTCCCAAGCTACTCATTTAAGAGACCCAGTTTTCTTTTTCTTTCTGGCTTGTTTTAGCAGGCTTGTTTGTTTGTTGATGCTCCTTTCACCTTCTGACTGAAACTGGTAACACAAAGTACTAATGAGGACCTGGGTCTGAGCAGACGCATGGGAGACCAGAACTTTCCATGGTGTGTTAAGCTCAGATGTCGGTAAGAAAACGTTAGCGATTTTAACGCCAAAAGGAATCATTGGGACAATCCAGCTGATCTCCTGCCCAGGGAGTGCCACCTGGCTATTGCTGCATCAGTCTGGAGGCGGGTTTCTTGTTCCTTAAGCTTTGGGGTTTTTTGTTTTCTGGGATTTTTTTTCAACATGCTTTGCCTATATGCCTGGCCCTGATCTATGATGCAAAAGGCTTTGTTCGGACTTAAAAACCCATCAGCACTAGAAAAGCAGATCCAAGCCCGTCTGACTGTAAGCGGAATGTGTATTAGCTAGTGGTGATGCGTACGCGCACAGAAAAGCAGGGGGCTCTCCCGCACTATCCTGGTAAATGAACAGGGTCAGTGACGAGAAATGGTTTGGGATTCGAAACTCCATTTCTCGTTCAGCTGAGGGGAAAAAGCCGGACTCAGCTCAGAGACAGCTGGCCTGTAACTGTGCCTCAGAACAAGCCCTCTCCTTTCCCTTCCGGGATTGGATCATACCTTTGCTTCTTCGTTAGCGTTCCACACGAAGGACAACGCGTTGTACGCCATCTCGTCGATGTGCTGCACTGTGTTGAAGTTTTCTTTACAGTCGGCTGAAATGCATTTAACGAGTGATTTACTCTTTGGCTGCAAAACTAGAGTCACTTCAGTGGCCGCCATGATGTTTTTAGTCAGACATGCAATTCTACACGGGCGTGCAAAATGGTGTCTTGTGTGTGGCGTGACCTCGCACGTACGGTGCAGGGGAGGTCCTGCTGTGCGGAGGATGCCCTTGTGTTCTACGAAAAGGCGCCTTCAATGCACGTGTTCAGGGGGCCAGACAGAATCGTCCCATGGGCACAGCCGGGCCTGGGGTATACAATGCGTGAGTTGCGTACACAGACGCCACGCCACTGCATCACAGGCGCTTTGCATTTCTAAAATAGCTGTCACCCAAAGATCGCAGAGCATTACTTCAGCCTCCCCATGCAAGAGAGAAGTGTTTCGTTCTTTATACAGTTGGATCAACTCAGGTGCATAGAGGTTAAGGAACAGGCCACAGAAGAGCCAATGAGGCTGAGGGGTTGAACCTGTTATTGACACCTGTGAAAAGCGACTGCAGATGTCTGCTAGATCAGAACAGCAGCTTTTTACAGGTGCAAATGACTACAAGAATCTGAGCCAGTGGCAGGATTGGACTAATTCCTAGGGCCAGATTCTCTGATTCACTCTGCTCCCTTTCCGCTGCCTTGGGTGCAGAGGGAGTGGAGACTGGCCACAACCGCCTTGCTGCAGAGACCGCCAGCTTGGGAAAGACTCCAGCAGGCACGGAGCAAGTTCATGAACCTTCCCCCCACACCCTCCCATAGCTCCCAGTGCAGGTGATGTGTTCATAGAATATCAGGGTTGGAAGGGACCTCAGGAGGTATCTAGTCCAACCCCCTGCTCAAAGCAGGACCAGTCCCCAACTAAATCATCCCAGCCAGGGCTTTGTCAAGCCTGACCTTAAAAACCTCTAAGGAAGGAGATTCCACCACCTCCTTAGGTAACCCATTCTAGTGCTTCACCACCCTCCTAATATCCAACCTAAACCTCCCTCACTGCAACTTGAGACCATTACTCCTTGTTCTGTCATCGGCTACCACTGAGAACAGTTTAGATCCATCCTCTTTGGAACCCCCTTTCAGGTAGTTGAAAGCAGCTATCAAATCCCCCCTCACTCTTCTCTTCTGCAGACTAAACAATCCCAGTTCCCTCAGCCTCTCCTCATAAGTCATTTTTGTGGCCCTCTGCTGGACTCTTTCCAATTTTTCCACATCCTTCTTGTAGTGTGGGGCCCAAAACTGGATACAGTACTCCAGATGAGGCCTCACCAATGTCGAATAGAGGGGAATGATCACGTCCCTCGATCTGCTGGCAATGCCCCTACTTATACAGCCCACTTATACAGTGTTGGAGGTGGAAAGGGTGGAGTTGGGGTAGGAGGGAGTAGCGGTTGGAGTGCAATGTGCTCTGACTATCCCCAATCAGCAAATGGTCCCTTAGGAACTTTTGTCAGCTGGCATAATTTAGAGCAGCCACCCAGGCTGTTCTAACCTGCACTGCGGTCAGTGCTATAGCAGAGTATCAAGGAGTCATAACGTGGTGCTCAACAGCTCCCACCTGGCTCTGTTGCACGCAGTGGAAACAAAGTGCAACAGAGAATCTGGCCACTAGCCTCCTGCTCTAACCACTAGGCAATGTTTTAGGTACTTTACTGGATGGACAAAACACTTGTATATGAGTTGTCAGGTCAAGTTCAATGCACTGTAAGAATAACCATGTGCTGGCAAGGGAGAAGGTCTTTGCCATCTTGGACTTGTACGATTGAACAGGAAAGGGATAAGATTTTTCAAAAGTGCCTAAGTAATGTAGGAGCCTACATCTCACTGACTTGGCTCCTGTGTCTGTTTGGAAAATGGAATTTAGGCTCCTAAAGTCATTTTGGTGCTTTTGAAAATTTCAACCTAAACCTTTAAAAAGTCCCCAGACAGAAAGGCATTGACGCCCACAGGTCATTCTGCACCTTCGTAACAGAGCTGGGAGGGAAAAGGTTTTTCCAGCCTGCGAAAATTTCACACATTTAAAAAAATCTTCCCATCCCAAAGTAGGACAAAAAGGCAAAATCTAGAAAATTTTCCAAACTGAAAATCTGGAAAAAAAATTGGTTTGGGTAAATCAAAAAACTGTACAGAAAAACTGGAATTTTCCATTTAGAATGATGTCAAAACGACCCATTGACAATTTGGAAACTTTTCTTTTTTCCAAAAAAATGTCCAAGTCGATAAATTCATCACAACCTTTCCCATTAAAACTTTTGGTTTCGCCAAATTGGCATTTTTCAACAAAAAACCTTTGGTCAAAAAATCCCCGCTCAGCTGTTTCCTAACTCCTCCAGGCCAAACTCTGTAGCTGAAGTTGCCTTATTGTGCATTAAAAATGGGCAAGGAACTTATTCGAAAAATAGCCGAGAGCACCCACACATTGGACGATCACCCCCAGGAAAGCCCCGCTGCGTACCGACGTCAATGACTCTCTGCTTGGCAGTCGGCTGGCGCGAATGCCAGTGCTTCCAGAACTTGAGCTGCTCCATTGGATTCTTTTCGTTGTCAAAAACGACCATCACAGTGCTCTGAAAAATAAGCAGAACAGCCCCACGTTAATATGTTGATCATATTCAGCTCTGGGATAGCCCTTTTCATCCATAGGCCTAATGCACTTGACAAAAAAGGGATAGTATGATTCTCCCCATTTTACTGCTGGGGAAAGTGAGGCCAGAGCAGGGAAAGGACTTGGCCAAGGTCACATGGTAAGTCAGTGGCAATCTGGGAATCAAGCTGTAGAGTCCTATCCGCATTGTGCTACTGCATGCACAGGGCTGGGATAGCCTAAGGCAGGGGTCGGTGACCTTTCAGAAGTGCTGTGCCGAGTCTTCATTTATTCACGCTAATTTAAGGTTTCGCGTGCCAGTCATACATTAACGTTTTTAGAAGGTCTCTTTCTATAAGTCTATAATATATAACTAAACTATTGTTGTATGTAAAATAAACAAGGTTTTTCAAATGTTTAAGAAGCTTCATTTAAAATTAAATTAAAATGCAGAGCCCCTCGGACCAGCGGCCAGGACCTGGGCAGTGTGAGTGCCACTGAAAATCAGCTCACGTGCCGCCTTTGGCACGTGTGCCGTAGGTTGCCTACCCCTGGCCTAAGGGTTAAGACATTTACAGGGCCTTTAATTGCTACTAATGCTCTGCACTTAACTAGACCATTTCCTTGGAGAACTTCCCAGCACTTCATTCACCTTCCTTGGTGCACCGTCCCATCACCGCTGGAGGGAGAGGACCCAACTTCTAGCCAGGGAGACCCTGGAGAACATCAGGTCTAGCTCCACCAGAATTGCCATCCAGCATCTACCCACACAAAACATCGCGCTGTGCTATGGACGTGGCTTATTCGTAAAGGACCAAATTCATCCCTGTGCCAGGGGAGGCAGTTTATACTTCCCCTTTCCGGGGCTGCAAGGAGCTATCTTGGCACAGGTTAGAGCACCCTCGTGGCTGCTCTAACTTGCCGTAATGGCCACAATGGGCCATTTTGGGACAGCAGGATTTCCGGGGTGCAGGTCTGCTTTGGCTATGGTCTCTCTCCCCTCCACCCTGCCCTGGAATGCCCCCTTCCCCCAGTGTGCCAGGCATAGGGGTCCCCTGCTTTGGGTGATATTGCTCTTAGGAAGTGGTGCTAACCCCGTACTGCAAGCCTTTTGCTTCAAACTAGCTGATGTAAAGGGGCCATACATCACTGATGTCCCACCTTAACAAACAGCACTTTCAAGGCAGCCTTTTGCTTCCGGTGTTTTGTGGGAATGTCTCTTGGGCACCTCCCACCCGAATGATAAAGTTAGAGGAAAAGTCTACGGTTTCCAGGTGCCAGGTAAGACGGAGTCTGTTGACATGTTCTGAGCCTCTCTGGCCCATTCATCACTTTCATAGAATCATAGACTGGGAAGGAACCTTGAGAGGTCATCTAGTCCAGTCCCCTGCACTCAAGGCAGGACTAAGTATTAGACCTTAAGTACTTTAAGCCAACGTGAGCCACAAAGCACATTTTCTCTCCACGATCCATTCCCAGGGCAGCACAATTGCTTGACGTCCGTTTATAGCATCTGTCAGCAAAACAGCCAGTGTGTCTCTTACCTTCACTTTATTCGAGGACAAGTGTAAACATTTGCCGTCTCCCGCTGTCCTCAGGGTGACGGGGTAGAACTGTCCTTTGTTGAGGTAGGCCATGGGCGAGTCCCCAGATTTGATGTGAATGGCTTTGGGGGAGCCCAGGGTATATTCAAAGTCACTCCTATGGAACAAAGAAAGAATGAGGAATAACCAGCGAATACCACTGCAGTCTGAACGTTACCGAGAGGGACACCTTAGCCAGCTCAAGAGCTGCAAGGTTCCATTGTTACAGGGTGGAAACACACAAGCAATTGTCTCTTTTCCACTCCCCCCATCTATCTTACCCCATATCTAGGGCCCTATCAAATTCACGGCTATCACGGACTGTGAAATCTGGTTTCCCCCCGTGAAATCTGGTCTTGTGTGTGCTTTTACCCTATACTATACAGATTTCACGGGGATGACCAGCGTTTCTCAAATTGGGGGTCCTGACCCCAAAAGGGAGTTGCAAGGGGGTCACAAGGTTATGTTAGGGGGGTTGCAGTATTGCCACCCTTACTTCTGTGCTGCCTTCAGAGCTGGGTGGCTGGAGAGTGGTGGCTGTTGGCCGGGCACCCAGCTCTGAAGGCAGTGCCCCAGCAGCGCAGAAGTAAGGGTGGCAATACCATACCATGCCATCCTTCTGCGCTGCTGCTGGTGGCGGCTCTGCCTTCAGAGCTGGGATCCCGGCCAGCAGCCGCCACTCTCCAGCTGCCCAGCTCTGAAGGCAGCGTCGTTGCAGCAGCAGCGCAGAAGTCAGGGTAGCAGTACTGCAACCCCCACGACAATAACCTTGTGACCCCACTCCTTTTTGGGTCAATTACAACACCTACAATTACAACACCGTCAAATTTCAGATTTAAATAGCTGGAATCATGAAAATTATTATTTTTAAAATCCTATGACCGTGAATTTAGTAGGGCCCTACCCATATCATAGTGCCTCACAATCTTTAATGTATTTAGCCTCACAATTCCCACGTGAAGCAGAATTTGAGCAGGGACTTGAAGTCAGGTCTCTCAAGGGCTGAGCTAGTGCCCTAACCACTGCACCACGCTTCCTCTCTACCCTCACTTTGTGCTGACAAGGTAGAAATCCCCATATGTTATTGTATCTGGTACTTTGCTACGGGATGGTAGCAGAGCTGTGGCAGGACAGAGAGTGCTTCGATGCCTTGCCAGAATAAACCATGCTAGAGACAGGACCAAGACTTCCAAAACGCCTGAAGTCAGGCCCCGCCGGTATCCACGTGGGATGACGAGCAGCAGCCTGATTGTTAGAGGTGCTGCCCGCTTGCATCTCCTGTTCGACTGAGTGGGAGCTGCAAGCGCTCTGAACCTGGGGCCAGAATTCAAATCTGTTGCCTCCTGCAGTGAATGCGTCCAGGCCTCTGCTGCCACCTAGGATTTCGTACACACAAGGCCTGAGCCTGGTTGACATCTGAAGGTGACCAAAACTCACATTTTAGGTGCTAAGGCTTTTCAAAATAAAATGTTGGGGTCTCCAGCAAACAGGAAGCCTCTCGCCTATTAAGGTGAGCTGTTGTCTGTGACAAAGAGCAACGTGTCACCAACTGAGTCACGGTGACTGAGGAGGTGAATGAAAACCGGGAGGGAGGATCACGTTATCTAGTCACAGATTTCATACCGTCCACAGAACAGGAAAGATCTGCTTGTGGGGAAGGGCAGGAAATGGAAGAGGAAATGGCCCTGAGGGGTGTTAAACTTCCTTATGCCTTAAAAACGCAAGGAGATGGCAATGAATAAGTCCTCTGCTGGCTGAAAGCAAGGACCCACCATGCTAGCTCAGGAAGGATGTGAAGATTTCACCCCCCTGGCTTGTGATCTGTGCTCTCTCTATCATTTGCCCCAAGAATTGGGCCTGTTTCCAGGCAGCTTCTGAAGATGATACGCAGCCAGGGAAGCTACTGGCGCAGAAAGTGCCCAGGTGCCGGGTCAAGGATGTGGAATCCGTGGCAGCAGGCATGACTAGCGTGAACACGGCTGTGAAGTGTAAGGGAGGCATGTTTGTCGGAGGCAGCAGTGGATTCAGAGAGCAGCTTCTCCACTCACTCACACCCGTGTGCCTGTAAGAGCCCCCACCAGGGATTGAACCAGGAACCTCTCGAGCTAAAGCGCTACAGTCTGCCGCACATTCATAAAGGGGGACCTTTAACACACACTCACCAGTGACTTACATACCCCCCTTGATGTCAGTGGCTTATTCTTGATTTACACTAGTGTAAGCGAGAGGCGAATCAGCGAATGTATGTGGTCTCAACCCAAGAACTCAGCAGGGACTCTGTGTAAATGCCCCTTGGCTGGCCACAATTGCAGCAGGGGGTCCTTAGCAGGGTGACCGGGGTTCAAGCTGGATTGGGGTTGGCTGAGCTGCTTGGGGAAGCCTGCTTAGCATCCTCTGCCTCCGTGCTCCCTATGGACGGGGGACAGACTTCTAAAAGCCCATCACTTGACTGCTCTATCCAAAGCAAAGTCAACAGTGTGGTTCCCTGAGTCCTGCCAGGCTGAGCGGGAAAGCTCATGAATAGAGAAGGTTCTCTCTCGTTTGCTGACACATCAGGTTTCCAGGCGGAGAGTTTTGGTCTAGGCCCTTTCTCGACAAGCAATATCTCAAACCCTAACCACTGCTAAGAGCCCTTCGCTTCCACATGCACTGAAATTCACCCCTCATGACAGCACGCTCATCCTCAGTACACTAAGGACATTATTCCAGACTGGCTCACCCTTGGGGAAATATTAATTCTGTAACTCTGCCAAGGTGAGTGCCCGCCTGGATCGGCAGCTGGGCAAATGAAACGAGGGGAAGTGACTGCTGCCAGGTGAACTGGAAACCAGGGGACAGGCCAGACTAACGAACTGTCGATTACCTCTTAGCGCCATCGGCAGGGTAACCCTCGGAGCATGGCTGGTCCGGCTGGGATTTGAGGATATCACCGAAGAGCAGTGACTGTAGGGAAAATGAAAGCAGGATAAATGAAAGTGGAATTTTTTCCCACTTCCCCCCTGCTGCACCGGTGATTAATAATAGCAGCTACAAACATTACAAGCAGCCAATTCTGGAGTCCGAAGGCTTGATCCATCTCCCAAAGTCAATGCAAAGACTATTCATTCAATGGGAGTTGGATGAAGTCTCTAATGCAAAGCTCCCATTGACTCCAGTAGGTAAGGACTGCATGATCAGGCCCAGAATTAGAGACACTGCACTGAAGTCCACCTCTCAGGTGGGGACATTTTCCAATTGAGGCAAACCAGGATGGCTCTAACTAGCCCACAGTTAGTGTTTTTCCCGGAGAGCAGGGCATGACTACTCATGGTGTGTCAGCCACAGAGAGTGGGACTCTTTCTGAATTTTCTGGTCAAATCCTGAGCCATCGCGAGTCACATGCTACTGACGACAGGTCAGGGCCAACTTCAGCAGAGATGCAAATGATGGTGTATGAAACACAAGGGGAAGTTGCTAAGGAGCTGGGTGTGAGCGCTTATGCAATGCAGTGTTCTCTGATCAGGCCTTCCGTGCACAGTGAGTAACGTACACACCCCGGGGCGGAAGGGTGTAGCAGGGCAAACAGGCAGGTGGAAGGCTAAGAAGCCCCTTACCCATTCTTCTTATCACACCCACCTGGATGTTGTTCCACACCCCTCAGTGTGTCAATCACACTTGTTTCATACACCCCTCGCACGCCAACGCTGTGCAAATCACACTCCCGGATATACCAGGCGTGTCACTTACTCCACCGGTTAAGTCACTGCTGCATTTGACCCAAAGACTCCGATGGGATCTGTACCCACTTACACCAGGTCTGAATTTGGCCCTGGGTCTAAACTGGAGCCACATCCCACCGGACTGCATGGGATTTGTTCCATGTGGATGCATATTGCAGCAGGAGGCGCAGTTTCACTCGTTGGCAGCTGCCTAGGTGATGATGATAAGCGTCTCAACAGCAGATCTCAAAGGGCTTTACAAAGGAGGACAGTATCCCCATTTTACAGATGAGGAAACTGAGGCACAGAGCGGTGAAGGACACCCTAGAGGTGCTGGAGGTGCAGCAGCACCCCCTGGCTTGAAGTGGTTTCTATCAGATACACAGTTTAGAGATGTGTTCAACTGCTTTCAGCACCCCCACTATATCAATGCTACTGGGTCACCCAAAAGGCCAGTAGCACAGCCAGGACTAGAACCCAGTCTCCTGAGTCCCATTCTGGTACGCTAGCCACTAGACCACACTGCCCACAACAGCTCCTGACCTCCTGCGGATCGTCTTTGAAAGTGCTGTCCGGCTGCCACCTCTGCTGCTGTGGCACCACATGAATGGTCTCGAAGAGGGAGCTCAGCGAGCCGTTGTCGTACACATCCCCCGAGGCGATGGCGTAGTTTTCGGGGGAGGGCTCCAGCTTGCTGGTGCTGGGGAGGAGGATGGCCGGCTTGAGGGGTGCGGGGACACCCTCTAGACTCAAGCCATTTTTCTTGGGCAGGTCGGAATATTCTTGGGTCCCGGAAACGTTTTCAGCCAGGAGCTTCATGAGGTGGGCAGAGCCCTCGAAGGACGAGATCTCGGGGTCGTACTCCATTCCGTGACAGTTCCTAGGGAGAGGGGATCCCATCAGAAACAGGGGCGGGAGTCACTGAGCCATGGGCTTGCGGAGCTAGGCAAGGCAACAGAGACCTAGACCCGAGATGAAGAAGCAAGCTGTATATTGGGGAGTAGCAGACACCAGGAATCCCACTACAGCCAGCCTGTAGAGCCCTAAAACAAGGGACCCCCGGCCTCATCCCTTTGCCTGTAGCTGCAATCCAGCAAGGTGCAGAGTCCCCCCTCAATTCCCAATGGCATCAACGGCCACTGGGGGCGCTCAGCCCCTCGCCGGATCACAGAGGTTCATAGGAAGTCAGAGGATGAGCTTTTAGCAGCAATAGCTGTGCTTAGAGACAGGCCTGGGTTTTAGATCAGCTCATCTCTGCTTGGGACATTAAATATTGACAACAGTGCAGCATGGCCAACCCCAAGCATTCAGAAATCGTGAGTCAGCCCCCCCCACCCGTAAAATCACGAGAATGGCTTAAAAATCATGATATTTTTTTAAAATGGTGGTTTTATTTGATTTCTGGGTTTTGAGCCTTTAGGGTTTGCATATTCAGGCACTTCTCTGCAAACACCAGGGCTGGAAACTTACTTAATGTTTTAAAAAGAAAGCTGAGGTTCTCATACATATTCACATGACTCCAGGAGCCAGTGCTTTGAGAAACGCCCCCAGCATGGTGAGACTTGGGATAAAATCATGCTGAGTTGGCAACACTGAAGTGAGATAGATAGGGGCAAACTTCAAAGCAGGTGCAAGAGGGACAGAGCTTGGGGATAAAACAAAGCTGAAGACTCCATAGTGCCATTGGGTCAAAAAAGATGATGATTTTTTTCTTGCAGAAGAATAAAATGCCGCTATCCTAGGCTACCTAGCCAAAAGCACTTCTACCAGACAGAATCCTGTCCCCCTCTGGGCCGCAGTCTGATATTGCCAGGTCTGCAGCCCCGGCCTAGCTGGTGGTGATAAATTATCACCCCTGTTTCTGTTTCCATACAGAGAAGAACAAACACCCCCCCCCATGCTAGCAACCCACGCTCCTCTTGGCAGCCCCAGCTGTCCCCAAGGAAGCGAAGGAGAAGCAGCAGCTACCATCCTCCTTGCTTCCCGAGCTTCTATTTCAGGGATCCACGGAACACACAATGGCTCCTCACACCTGTGTTGAGTATGTCAGTGCTCAGAGAACCAGTAAATTTCCCTGAAAATTAACTCTTCCCCTACCTCCTCTGCTAGCGAGGGGAGGGGAGTGTCACCCCTTTGCAACAGGTCAGCAGGGAGCCGGAACCCCAGCTGGAGAGCAAATATTTAAATAACCAACAGGTCTGAAATGCTAAAAGCAACCCAGCCAGCAAATCCACTTGGGGGCCAGATCCTCAGCTCCTGCAGAATTCTTAGCTCCACTGAAGTTAAAGGTGTGGCGCCGTTTTACTGCAGTTCAGGGTCTGGCCCTGCATTAGCACATGCAGCTCTGTTGCCATTATTAAAAACTATACGTGTACCCAGCAGGGCCGGCTCCAGGTTTTCTGCCACTCCAAGCGGAAAAAGAAAAAAAGAAAAAAAAGCCAATCGGCGGCACTTCGGCAGCAGCTCAATCGCGCCGCTCCATTCTTCGGTGGCACTTCGGCAGCGAGTCCTTCACTCCCTCTCTTCCTCTTCGGCGGCACTTCGGCAGCAGCTCAAAGAGGAAGAGAGAGACTGAGGGACCCGCTGACCAATTCCCGCCGAAGACCCGGACATGCTGCCCCACTAACGGATGGAGTGCTGCCCCTTTGTATTGGCCGCCCCAAGCACCTGCTTCCTTCGCTGGTGCCTGGAGCCGGCCCTGGTACCCAGCTCCTACAGACGGAGAGCACCTCTGAAAATAATGCACAGAGCCCATCTGCCAGGCCGGGAGAGGAGAAACGGCGCCAGGACTTAGCCGCCAGGAAGGAATAAAGTGTCATTCAACGGGCCCGTTGTAGGGAAAGTGCTTCAAAAATAGTTATGCAGAGCAGATTGCCAAGGTACATAGAGTCCAGCAAGGGGCACTGACTTCCCCGAGCCTAATGGGCCATTACTGTCTCAGTGAATTCTCTAGACAGCCTCGAAGCCTACGAGGACATCAGAGGAGAACGCTGGGCAAACTGGAAGCAGTTGAAACGGAAAACTCTTATCAAGTCAATGAGTCCGCGCTGACTCTGTGATTCCAGCCCAGCAACATATAAATAGTCCCTGGCCCAGTGTCACAAGGAGGGACACAGAAGAACAGATCCTCGGCTGGTGTTAGTCAGCCTAGTTCCATTGAATTCAATGGGGGCAGATTCCCTGTTGGTGTAAATCAGCAAAGATCTATTTACACACACCGAGGACCTGGCCGAAAGAATTTTAATGTGTGTCTCTCTGTTAATAGCCTCCACTGTTGTTAGTAATAATGCTGTGCTTTGAAGTCTGTTTTATGCAAGCTAACAGATCCATCATGCATGCCAGCAGCAGACAGACAGCTAGAGAGAGCAGGACTCGGTCTAACCTTTTTCCCAGTTCATTGCGTCCCATCATACCAGGTGGAAGGATCCTCTTCTCCTTTGGCACCTGCAAAAGGGCAAAGCAACGGCTCCCTCACTGCCACAGATTCACATATAGAACCCAGAGGCAAAATAAACCCCAGCTATAATAAGTGTAGTCTAGTGGCTAAGCCCCTAGACTGGGTCTCAGGTTCGCTTCCCTCCTATCCCAAATTCTGTGTGAATAATGCCTCATTTTCCCTTCTCTACACTAAAGCAGTGCCCCACCTCCCAAGGGAGTTGTGTGGATCCAGATGTTCACAGTTGTGAGGTTCTCAGATACTCTGGTAATGGGGAGCCATATGAAGTACCTAAGGGCTTTGTCTACGCTAGCACTTATGTCCTTAAAACTTTTGTCGCTCAGGGGTGTGAAAAAACAAACCGTCGCCAGGAGCCGCACTCCTAGCGATGAAGCTACCGCCCCTCGTTGGAGGTGGTTTTATTTTGCTGCCGGGATCAAAAGCGGCTAGACAGCGCGCCGTACAATGCGCCGTTGTAAGGTGCGCTGTGTAGACACAGCTTAAGATAAATCATTGAGCACACATGCAGCCTTCCCCAGGCTGCAGAGTGACAGGCTAACCATAGGCGCTGGCTCCGTGACTGCTCCAGGCCTGGAGGGAGCACCCACGGAAAAAAAAATATGCAGCACCCACCAGCCACAGCTGTTTGGCGGTGCTGCCAATCAGCTATTTGGCAGCACCCCTGATTAGCTAATCGGGGGCAATGACAAACAGCTGATCGGGGGCTCGGGGAGGAGTTTGGGGGATGGTGGAGAGCAGCGAGCGGAGGCCTTGGGGAGGGGGCAGAACTGGGATAGGAAGAGGCGAAGCAAAGGGTGGGGCCTAGGGGAAGGGGCGGAGCGAAGGGCAAGGCCTAGGGGAAGGGGTGGAGTGAAGGGCAGGGCATGGGCGGGGCCTTGGGGGAAGGGGCGGAGTGGGGGTGGAGCACCCCAAGGGAAAACGAAATGGTGGCGCCTATGAGGCTAACTGAGGGCACACGGTGCCCACTAGGAACGTACCATGTAGTAGTCGTAGAGGAGGCTCAGGGCAGCCACGCTGTCGTCGTCTCCGTTCACCCTCATCATGGCCTTGGTGGCGGCTGTCAGGGGGTTCTCCAGGTAGCTTTTCCAGGCTTCGTCTTCATTGGTGTAGGAGAATTTCGGGAAGTTCATGCTGTCGTTCTTCAGGAAGCACACGGACCTGAAACTGAGCCAGCGAGGTGGGGGTGAAGGCAAACAGTCATGGGCAGGACGTTTCCCAGCGCTCCTTTCAATGGGCACAGAGCGAACGTGGGCTGGATTCTCAAAGGGGCCACTGAAACTCAGTGGGCGCCGGACGCCTACCTCCCCTCGGCTACTCTGGAAAGCTCATTTGCGGCTGCGTTTTGTGCAGTGTTAGGGCCACGGCCTGTCCTGACAGGAGCTATGAAGGAGAGCCAGGCAGGCGCCTTCTGCTGCAGCCATCCTGTTGGCCACAAGCGGATGCCTCAGCCCCAGCAGGGGCATGGCAGCACAGCGGAGCAGCCTTTGCTAACGCTCTGACCGCTAGAGCATGCTGCCACCTGGACATCCCCACCCAGGGCACATCCTATGCCTGTGCGGGGTGGCACACGGGCTGCTTCGCACTCACTTCCTTTTACTCAGTGCAAAAGGGTAACGTGACAATGCGAGCTTGTTGTTTTTCACTTTTCACAACGCAGCAACAGGGGTCCGCGAGGAGGAGAAATGATCCGCGGGGAGCCGCGCCACAACGGGATGAATCCAAATCCCCCTCCTGGTTTCCTGACTTTGTAAACTTTAACGTCAGTTCTCACATACTCTTTTTAAATCATTTTTGACGTGATCGACAGAATTCCAGTTCCAGGGAGGAAACTCCACCGGCCAGATTGTGCTTCCCTTATGTACACTGAATAGTGCCCCGGCTGTGTTCTGCTCTTTCCATTTCCCCAGCTCTCTACATTCTGCCTCAATAGGCTCTCAGACACATACACACCTTGAGATACACACCTTGGGCACCTTTCCTTTCCTCTTGCAACCCACAGTATTATTCAGTAGATCAGAGCCAAAAATGTCTAGTTGTCCCTGTGCATTCTGCTCAGCTGGGCTGTAACCACTCAGAGGGGATGGGATGAGTCGCAGACTCAGCTTGCAGCACCTGCTGGGCCCAGTGGCATTTAACACCGCAGGGTCTGTTGATCATACCCCTGACATGCTGACAATCCACCCCTCCATCATCACCACTACAGCGGGTTGACATTTTTCATTTCAAACATTTTTTTGTTGACAAAAAATTGCTTTATATTTTAAAATCAAAATTCCACAGGAAATACCCATTTTCTATTAAATTGGGGATAGAGGATTGGAAAAAAAAACCCCTCCTTCTCCCTGTTGAGAACTGGGACATTTTTTGATTGTCGGTTTTGCAACGAAAAAGTTAGTTAATAGGAAAATTCAGCTGGATTCTCATTCTGGGTGAAACTTCCGGGGGAAAAGACATTTCTCAACCAGCGCTAGTCACTGCTGATTTAGCCCCTCTATCGGGCCATCCGGCCTTCTGTCAGTCAATAAGGAGTCCTAGGGTTTGACCTTCAGCGAGACATTGGTGGAGTCATTTTCAAACAAGTTTCCAGCTTTGTTCTCATGCCCCATCTGCACCTGCAAGACCCACTGTTGCTTATTCTAATGGTTTTCAACCCTTTGTCATCTGCGGACCCATAGAAATTTCAAATGGAGGCGCGGAGCCCTTTGGAAGTCTTAGACATAGTTTGCGGACCTTCAGGCCTCCGCGGACCACAAGTGAAAAGCCACTGGCTTATTCAAAGGGCTCTTGTGCTAGCCGAAGGGGGTGCAGACTTCAGGAGCCCACTTTCACAGCCCTAGGGGTGACCAACCCAGCCAGACCCGTAGGCGCTACACAGCTCATTATTATTAACAACGGGTCCTTTCGGCTCCCTTTGGTTCTGCGATGCAGGAGATCACACAGGTGTCCTGAGAGAACTCTTCCCCCTACGGGCCAGGTGCTCAATGGCTGTTTCGGAGAAGGCAATCGGACCGGTGGGCCTGCGTCCAAGGGCAGCATTTGGCCTGAATTAGCGTTGCTGCCTTTTGCTCCATCCCGTCTGGCAGCTCAGCTCTGGGATTGCAGGAAGAACAGGATGGTTTCAGAGGCCATGTCGGCACTAACCTCCCACTGCTGCAGCTCCACCAGTGGGAGCGCTGCTGAAGATGGTACACAGGCCTTTTCATCCTCAGGTCCAGAGCCTGAGGTGTGGGGACACTAAAGGCCCAGATCCTCAACGGTATTTAGGCCCCTAATTTCTGTTGAAATCAACAGGCGTTAGGTGCCTAAATGCCTCTGAGGACGTAGGCCTAACTTTCCACCAGTGGAGCTGCGGATGTAACAATCTAGCGGCGCCCTGTTCCCAGAACAGCCCTGGTCAGAACCACCCTGGGAGAAGAAGCTGCCTGTGCTGTTCTTTGCTCATGTCACACGCTGGCCCCATATTTTTGCAGGCAGCCCCCACCTGCCCAGCTGCTGGTATAACGGAGATGCTGCGTTTGCCCTTCACTTCCTCGCCCTCGCCGGCTGGGCTGATGCTCTAACCTTGGTTTCACTTGGTACGTGAAACTGCACCAGGTGTTTGGCGAGTTTCGTTGTCTCTGGCAGTTCTCACGCAGCCTTCCCTCCCCTTCAGTGCTGCTCTGCCGGTCTCTAAGGAGAGGAGCCCGGGGTGACTCAGATTTCACGGCTGTCGCCGGGGCTGTTCAATCCTGTCTGGGCAGGAATCCTCACCCGTTCTCAACCCAATCTGCTCAAGGAAGAACAGTCAGCAGCACAGTCAACTCTGGGGGGTGAGACTCAATTCCGATCGCTTGGGATCAGCGGAAAGAAACGCACCGTGGAAAGACGAAACAGCAAGGCGCAGAGGAGGTTAGAAAAGCACCTCTGTTCAAATGAGAAATGGGTTGGAACCAGTACCCCAGATCCAAACCCTCTTACACGTTGGGAAAGCATCTGGATCCAGACCCTTTGGCTCCCCTGCGCCGCCATGAACGCCTGTGCAAAGGGATTTCACAGCAGGTGTACAATGCCACTGATTCAGAGTGGTACCATTTTTACACCTGCTTTGCATTCCAAGGAGCAAGGCAGAGGGAGAATCAGATTCCGCAATCTTTGCAGCTTGTGCCCAGCTCTAGTCCACGACAGGTAAAAGTTCCAAAAATGCCTTAGGAGCCTAAGCCCCATTTTTAAAGTGATGGGTTCTTAGAGGTGAAAGTCACTTTTTTTTTTTTTTTAACTTTCTATTAAGGCCAAATTACAAGAAACCGTTGACACACCACATCGTACACTGCCTATGCAGGGTCAGGGGTTCAAAGGACCTGGCTAACGGTTCCGTCTTGCTGCCTGGGGAGTCTTTCTCTGAGCATGCTAAAAAGGGCGACTCTTGAAAATGTTACCACACGTCCGTGACACAACAGTGGTTTACACCAGTCGAGGATCTGGCCAACAACGACATTTCTGGGGCCCATATTTCTTCTTTCTCATTTGCTTTCCAGCTCAGAGGCGTGGTGTTGATATGGTTCTGGCTGAGAGGTGCTGGTGACAGCATGGATCAGTGTACTAAAAGCCCGCCATTCAATGCCCTTTGTTTACTGATAACTGAAACAATGGAAACCACCAAAGTCTGGACCAGCATGGGCAGCAACTGGGCCATGTTGGCTTAAGGCTGATAATGGCTTAAGGCTGGGGCTGGGTAATGTTTGTGGCAGCTGTGTGTGTGTGTGTGTGTGTGTGTGACAGAGGCTGAAGCACCAGAACAGATCGAGGGTATGTCTACACTGCAGCTGGGTGTGCAATTCCCAGATCAGACAGACGTACGCACAGATGCTGGGCTCAAACTAGCCTGCTACAGAAAGCAGTGTGGCCACAGCAGCACGGGCTAGCCACCTGAGGACACACATAAGATCTTGGATGAGGTTGTGCTCAGGCAACTGTGCCAAGCTGCCGCAGCTACTCTACTATGTTTAGTTCACTAGCTTGAGCAGAGCTAGCACAGGTCCGTTGTGTCTCAACGCCAGCGTAAACATACCCAGAGCAAGAAGCGGCTAAGAAAGCCAAGGATACAGCCAGAACAAGCATGGCCCTGAGAAAAGCCTAGTGAGAGACAGAGCTTTTGGGTTAAGTGCTGACTGGAAAGGGCTTGGAATTGTGAGCAAAGAAACTCTCTCCAGTTGTTTGGTTCCTCCTGTGTTCAGGGAAGCAGGACTTTGTACATTCTTTGTAATTAAAAAGGACTGCATCGAAGACACCTGACTCCATCATGAGTTTCTCCTCCTTACGGAAACAACCCAAAGGACGCTGAATTTTGGCCAGACACTCAGGTCAAAAGGGGTAACAGTATAATCTGAAGCTGATTTTTCTAACCATCGCTGATGCAAAGTCAACCTTGGATCTGAAACAGCAGAGATCCTTCCAGCTCTTACCCTCCGTTGAAAAGGATCTGCAGCCAGAACTCGCCTGACAGTTCTGTGGATGATGTGTCAGGCAGAACAGAATGCACCTCGCTCTCCCAGCTGTGTGGGGGGGGAGGGATCAGCAGGGTTAACTAAAACCTTGTCTACACTGCAAATGCTTTGCCCATATAGCTACACCAGCAGAGACCCCGAGTGTAGATGCAGCATATGCGGACAGAAGGAGCAACACCCCCTTCCCAAATGAAAGTAGCTATCCCAACGGAAGCACTCTTCTGTCAGCATAGTTGCACCTACACTGGGGTTTTTGCCAGCATCACTATTTTGGCTAGGGACTGTGTTTTTTCCACACCCTTGACCACTATAGCTATGCTGACAATACTCTGCAATGTACAGGTGGCCTCATATACAAAACCACGGGCTTGGGCTAGGAGAGAAGCAGATGTGTCATCCAGGGAGCAGGTGCCATTTTTAGGGTCACTTTTCTGCCTTTTGGCGTGCTTGGCTGCAATATCCCATCATGCCTTGCTGCGGCGGTTACTATGGGCTGTCTCCAGCCCTGCACCACAACCTCTGTAAATCTGGGTGCAGGAAAGAGATGAGCTTGATCCAAAACCCCAGATCCAAAC